TGAGACATGCTAGGCATTGCCATTTCACCCCTCTGACCTTAATTTCCTGATCTTCAAAATGGGTACAATGACACCTGTGCCACAAAGTCTAGTGTGAAGCAATGCGATGAACTGGTTTACACTGAGGTGTGGCTCACTGCTAGACGTGTGTGTGTGTGTGTGTGTGTGTGTGTGTGTGTATGCACGTGTATGCACAAGCACAGCTTAGTACAAATGAATCTTCAGTGGCAGAATTTAGGAAATTCAAGCATAGTGCTCTGGGTTGGTTAAGGATAAACCCCCCAGAAAGCCTGGATTTTGTGTTCTTGGGGAATCCAGTGAGTGGGAATGAAGCCCCTTCCTCCCTGGTGGACCCCTCCATTTGGGGCAGTATAGTGTTCTTCCGGCCCTTGGACTCCAGCAGGAAGAGCCTGTTCTTCTATTAGCCTGAGAAACTGATGCTATCTTTGGGGCACTGAGGGTTGAGATCTGTTTTAGAGCTAGCTATTTCTTGGGGACAGTATGAAGGTAAATGTCACGAACATGCTCAAAGTCTGGACTGGTTGGGAGGGTGAGTGGGAGATGGACCGGTTGGGAGTCATGGGTTGCCTGAGTACATCGTGGGGTGTTTAAGGGGTAGAGGGGACCCCAGAAGATTCTGGACAGTGCAGCTGTGGTGCAGCCAGCTGTGCCAGGCAGTTGCCCTGGCCTCTCTGGGGTCAGGGCTCTGCTCACCGGCAGCAGCACGAGCCTTGTTATCAGACAGCCCAGCTGGCTCAGAGGTGGCCCCCCAGCGCTGCTAAATCGGGGCCACCAGCTCCTGCTGCAGGAAGAGGGAAACGCAGGCAGGATGTCCTCTTCTGTGGCCGACAAGTCCTTTCCCATGAACCCCTGCTGACCTTGCTGGACACGTGTCGGGGGCTCCCCCACTTGCCACCCAGACCTGCTCCTGCCCAGGCCTGGACACGCAGGTGGGGGTGACTGAGCAGAGGAGCCAGGCCTAGGCGTGCCTGCTGTTCACCCCGCCCACAGGGACAGGGCAGGCGCCCTGAGCCTCTCACAGCAATGAATGCCCGCACCTTCCTGCTTCCAGACTTGTCCCCTTGGCTTGACCGGAAAGCTGAGATCCCAGAGGAAGCCAGTGTCTGAAAAGGATCGAAACTCAGGAATCCCTGGCTCCAAATGGGGCATGTCTGCTGCTTCTCTATCAGAAGTCAATCCAGAGAGTGTGATAGGTTCTTTGAACTCCTCTCTCTGTCCACTCTCTGCTCCCAGGGGCACCTCAAAAAGCTGTGGAACATAGGCCAGAGCCTGGTGAAGACAGACCTACCTGGTGGAGAAAAATCCCCAAACAACAAGCAGGAGGGGTGTAAGCTAGACACCGAGAAGAACTTCCCACCTCATGCTAAGACCTCACTTAATTTCCATGGAATTCCTCATCCCCTTCTTGCACTCAAGTGCTTTCAACTTTCCCCTTCCTTATCTGACCAGTTGCATTTACTGGAGTCTGCTGGAAAATCCCGTTGGATGCCTCCACCTGGAGTTCGTGCTTCTCCACATTTGCTCCTTCTCCCTGGGTCCACTTCTAATAAGTGATCCCATGATCTACCCTGTTTGCTTAAGCCTGAGACCTGGCATTTTCCCTCTCTTCCTACTATCTCCAATTATTGACCTTATCTCCTGAGCCCATGCACTTGCTGTTCCCTGGTTCCTGCCTCACCTGGACAGCTGTCTCTTGCTGCTGGTTTGCTGCTGGTTCCCATCATCTCTTCTACCTTGCCTTCCCAGCCACTGGTTCCACCTCCTGGCCACCCGTCTAGCCTCATTTGAACACTTATTTGTCCCCATATACCATGTGGACATTCCTGTCTCTGGGACTTTGAGTGTATCTTTTCCCTGCTTGGAATTCCCTTTCCTGGAGTCTGCAGACCACTGAAGGAAGCCCTGGGCTAGAAATGACACTCCCTTCTGTGTAGCCCACAGAAACCAGCTGAGTCTCATGGGAATCACTGAGCACTTTCATATCTGGCCTACTGATTCCTGATACCATGTCTGTGTTCCAACTAGTCTAGCACTGAGGAAACACCTTCAGGATAGGGCAGCGTCCTATCCTGGGTGATCCTGAGCAGGCACGGTGGCTTGCGGCTTGAACAGAACTGCACTCTTTCTCCCTGACACACTGGGAGGTTCTCCAGACTGTCTACTTGTGACACCCTCTCCTGAACCTAGCCAAGGGGTCAGTGTGCTCTGGGGAGGGAACAGGGTCCCTGCAGCGGACTGGCTCCGTGTCTCAAGAATGATGGGTGGATAGGCAGCATGTACATTAGCGCACAAGACAAGGGCCAGAAGGTCGGTAGCCACCAAGTAAGGTGGGCTCAGCCCCTACATCCTGTTAGCACTGACACAGCACTGACTTGCATCCCTGTCCTGCTCCCACTCCCCTAGGCCTGGGTCAGGGCCGAGGATCAGTGATAGTAGAGAACTGGGATGACCATGTGGGTCTTGAACTATGGCAAGGGCAAGCTTGCTCTAGGTCAGGCCAACTCAGCTGCCCAGTTGTCTCCTGATTCCCCAGCACGTCTCAAGTTCTCTGCCCAGTGTCCAGAGGTATAAACCCTTTCTCTAGGCTGAATCTCAAAGATGAAGTTTCTTGGGGCTGCCATCTGCCATCTTCTCACTCCATAGAGACACTGCTGACCAGGATATTGAATCTTGAAGTCCAACTCAAGCACACAGCCTCTCAGTGTTTACCAGGCTGCCCACTGCAACGTGTGGAGAAACAGAACTGCAGGGGGGCGGGGGGAGAGGGCCCAGGCCGTACCCCAGGGACTTAGACTTAGAACAAAAGACTGCTTCTACCATCTTTGAGGAATCAGCATCAGGGTCCCAAGGCTTCTCTCTTGCCTCCCATTCTGGCTTCTCTGATCTTGACTGATCTTTTTTTTTTTTGTGAAGCTGATGATTGAATCCTCCTGCATGGAGCCTCCTTCATGCTAGGCAAGTGCTCTACCACTGAGCCACTGAGTCAAGCCCCCAGCCCCTGCACTTAGGGATTTATGTTTCCGATGTAACATCCCTCATTAGGCTGGGAGCTCCTGAATTCTCTTCCACCCAGCAGTGGGTGGAGCTGTCTCCATTGGCATCTCAACTCTCACCACACCCTTGTCCAGCCTGGGACATCCCATTCCAGCTGACACCCTCTCCTCCCCTGCACAGCCAGACTTGGTGAGAGTCACCAGCACCTACTGCAGGGGATAGCATCACTCCCTTCACTCCTCCACCTCCCTCTCCCTCTGGCCTCTGCTAGTTTCCCTCATACCTGCAGGCTGTTCCTGTTCCCTGGAAGCCCCCTTCCTCTCCGGCCTCCTCAGGATTCCCCTCCTGGGCCTTTTGCACTGCTTCCTTTCCAGTCACCAGCCCAACCTCTCTCCTGAGCCTCAGCCCTACATCCAGCTGCCAGTCACATGTCTCCCGTGCAGGGGGAGCTCTCCCACTCCCCACCCCTGCTGTCTAACCACAGTGGTGTGCCATTCACTATTCCCCCCACATTCACACACTGATCACCTGTGGGAACCTGACCCTGGACTGGGTTATAGGGGAGCAAGAAAAAGTCAAGGGGCAACCCTCCCATAACACCTGCCCTACTTGGGCCCAGACAACTATGTTTCCTAGCCATGGTCCAGGTTGGGCCACACCTCCCTCACCTCTCCTGTTCTTAGTGGTCAGCCTGTGAGGGACAGATGGAGAGGGAAGAACTGGGCTCTGGTATCCCAAAGAGCTGCATTGACTTCTTCCCTTCCTATCTGCTTCCTGAGAACCCTGGGCTCAGTCTAGGCTTCCCTATGTGTAAAATAGGTCTGATACTCTGAGAATTAAAGGGCTGACGTGTGTAAAGCCTGTAATCAATTTCTATGGTGTACAAAAGTACAAAATTTCCATCTCTCCCTTCACGACTTGGAGCATTTCTCCCTCAAACAAGGGGGGCTCCATGACACCCAGTCTGCCCCTGACTTCCAGGAATACAGGATCTTGAGTGGACTCCCAGCTCATCTTCCCCTTACTCCTGATTCTCCTCCTTCTCCTTCTCCTCCTCCTCCTCTTCCTCCTCCACACTCCTTCTCCTCCTCCTCTTCCTCCTCCACACTCATTCTCTTCAGCTCTACAGCGTCAACTCAGGTCTGGGTCTCTCCCCACCGGAACCATATTGCCAATACAAACCTAAACCTGCCAGTCCTTTGCCTAAGACCTTCTGTGGCAGCCTCTACCTTATGGTGAAAGCTCCCTAGTTGGCCTTCAAGGTTCCTGTCCCAGAACTCTCACATCCCTGGAGTCCCCGCCTTCACTTCTGTGACACTGATGGCTCGAGTTGCAGTCTTAAGATTTGCCTTATGTTCCAACTTGCACCCACGCGGTCACCTTCGACAGCTCTTCCCTGGGATGCGGAGTGTCTGGAGTCTGAGCTCCAGCAGTCCCTGGCCTGGAGAAGGTGGACGCCTATCCCAAGCGCCCTCTGGGGGGCCTCCTGGGACAAACTTCCAACGCAGATAAGAGGCGTCGGGAAGTGCGCACCCAAATCTGGGATAGTGCGGGGATTGTCGCCTACGGGCCAGAAGGAATGATCCCCGGTGCGCACGCAACAAGACTTAGTGGCTGAGCGCCTGGACTTCGCGGGTGAAGACACGAAGGATCCAGGCTAAGGATGCAGCCTGACTGGACAGGCTGTACTGAAGATGGCGCAAATCTGGGACCCAAAAGACGATCTCGGCGCTAAGGCGCAGCCCTACCACCCCAGTCCCTGACCCGGCTGCAGTCACCGCCCGCTCTTTCCTCATCCCGGCGGTCCCGGGCCCCAACCCGCCGCGCTCCATCCGGTGTCCGCATCTCCAGGCTCTTGGGCTGCCCTGTCCCCTTCCCGTTCCCCGTCGGTGCGGTCTCGCCACTAGCTCCTGGCGCGTCTCGTAACCCCACCACCTCAGCTACCAGTCAGGCCCTGGGACACGCAACGGGCTCGCAGCACTCACCGTCCAGGAGTCCGAGGCAGAGCCACAGGCGCAGGCACAGCGCGGTGCCCCGCTGCATCTCCGGCCGCTGCGCGCGGGTCCGACCTGCACGGCCGCAGCTCGGGGCTGGAAGTGTAGAGGCGCGGCGCGGGCGGGGCCGGGCTCCGCCGGGCTGCGGGCTGGGGGCGGGGCAGGGGCGGGGCTCTGGGGGAGGCGGGCCATGGTCGCCTTAGACAGCCCCTCGCCCCTCTCCCCTCTCCCAAGTTTCTCCCAGCCCTCCCAGGGAGCATCCAGTCTAGATAAGAAGGGTGCTCGCTCTGCCCAGCAGACGTCCATCTAGGGGGCGAGTCCAGTTCTAAGTCAACTCCCTCCCTCCAGCTGCTCCCGGGCCACTGTGGGAGGGCGAAGAATGTAGGTAATGCACTTGACCGTCCTTGTGCGCTGCGAAGGGAAAAGAGCGCCGCAGGCAAAGAATAAAATGTGGCAGCGAGTAATTTTCTGCAGTTTTCTTCCATCAGTAAACAGTACGTTTAGAGTAATCAAAAAGGCAGTAAGTACAACTTTAAATAGCAGCATGTTAAATTTTATGGAGCATTCAACAGGTTTGATCTTACTACCTCCATAGTGTCCATGGAGGCTGTGCCCTTGAGCCCGGCACTTCCAATAAATGACATTCCACCCCACCCCCGCCCCAACCCTGAAGGTTTGGCCTCCGCTTTAGATCTTCTCCAAGTATTTTTGCTCTGAGCTCATTCATAACTCCTTTTTTTATCAGGTGACACTTTACTTTCTGACTTGGCAAACCCTCCTTTCTCTTTTCAGTCAGATCGCTAGAATTTTCCAATTTAAAAATAAATCCCACGACAGTGACTATTTCAACCTTTCTCTACTGCTTTTACATCCCTTTCACACTTTTTCCATGCCCTTCACAAGTCTGTTCATCCTTGCCAAAAACCAAGACCAGATTGCTGATAACAACTTTCACTAACTCGCTCAAGTACGCATAAGAGCTGAATATATTATTTAGTTGGAATCACAGATCAGCAGAGATAATTTAATAAATAATGTAGGAGGAAATTAGGCAACCAAATAATAAATGGAGTTAGATTTTTTTCAATCATACATGGATTTTTATTCTTTATTTAGTTTGAAATTTAAAAGAAATTATTGTGCAATGTAATGCACTTAAGGAAATTGTATGATATCAATGGATCATACATGTGAATTTTAGAGCAAACACATTTCCAGCACAGGATGTGAAAAAGCATTTACATTCCAGAGACCTCTCCCATTTCCCATCCAAAGCCTCTCACTAACTCCCAAAGGTTTTTCCACAATCCTGGCCTTATCATTTCCCCAATTTTGCATTTTATCACCTAAGTATGTGTTTTGCTTCTGTTTTAACCTTATTTAATTGTATTCACACCATAGTTTTTTTTTTACTCATAATCATTTGTGAGATTCATCTACATATTGCTGTGATAACCTACACTGCTCATTTTCATTGCTGCCAAGTTTTCCACGGTTTGATACACAACAATTAATGTGTCTGTCTACTATTGATGGAAGCTGGAGTTGTTGCCAGTTTCCAACTGTTGCTGCTCTGAACACTCTTGTATATATTTCCTGGTGTACATGTGTGTTATTCTCTCTCTCTCTATATATGTATATGAATACAAGTGAAATTGCTAGGTATATGTGTCTTCAACTTTAGTAGCTAGTACCAAGTACTCCCCCCTGCCTATTTTAGCATCTCACTGTGGTTTTAATGAACTGTTTGAAAGTAATATGGCCACTTCAGCTTTGGTGGCATTACTGTAAGCATGGCATATCTTTTTATAACCTTTTACTTATAGCAACTATTTGTGTTTTTATATTTCAAGTGTATTCCTTATACTCTGCATAAGGGTGAGTCTTGCTTTTTTAATCTGCTTTTTAATTGGGGTGATTTAAAATATCATTATTGACGTGGTTAGGTTTAAATTTGTCGACGTGATAACTGTTTCCTATTTGTCTCATCTGTTCTTTGTTCCCTCTTTCCTCTTTCTCTTCCTTTTTTTTTCTTTTGGATTGAGTATTTTTTTATGTTGCATTTTTCTTTCCTTTGTTGGGCTATTAACTATCCTCTGTTTTCTAACTTTAAAGTTTCCCTTAATGTTTATATCTACATCTTTAATTCACAACAGTCTACCTTCATGAGATAAAATATACCTTCATATGAAAACCTTACAATAATTTTTCCCACTTTCTCCTCTCCCAGCTCTTATGCTGCTGTGACTCATTTTGCTCATGCATATCATAACCCTCAGAATAAATTGTCATTATTTTTGTTTAGTCACTGCTCTTTTATAGACATTTAAAAATTTAAAGCCTTTCATATTTACCATTTAACATTTCTAATAGTGTGTGTGCACCAATGATGAATTCTTTCACCTTTCAGATGCATTTTTGAAAAAGTCTCCTTTTTCCTTCTTATTTGAGGACTGTAGTTAGAAGTGTTTTATACTTCATTATTTTCAGCTTCATAATTTCCTTATTTCTTATTTTGAAAATTGTGGTAAAATACACATAATGTAGAACATCTTAGCAGTTTTTAAGGGTGTAGTCAAATGGCATTGAGTATATTCACATTGTTATACTACCATCACCACCAGCCATCTCTAGGATGCTTTTTATTTCGCAAAATTGCAACTCTACACCTTCTAAACAGTAACTCCTCATTGCACCCTACCCTTATGCCCTGGCAACCACTGTTCCACTACCTGTCTCTATGAATTTGGTTACTCCAGGTATGTCACAAAAATGGAATCATGTATTTATCCTATGGTGACTTCTTTTTATGCTTATTTCACTTAGCATAATGTTCTCAGAGTTCATCTATGTTGTAGTATGTTTCAGAATTTCCTCCATCTTTAAGGCTGAATAATATTCCATTATATATGTATATATATTATTATATATGCACAAATATCACATTTTGTTCATCCACTCATCTGTCAGTGGCACTTGGTTTTCTTGTACTTTTTTGCCTGTTGCAAATTCTGATGCTGTGAATATGGATGTACAAATATCACTAGGTCCTTGCTTTCATTTCTTTTGAGTATGTGCCCAAAAGTAGAATTACTTTATCATACAGCAATTCCATTTTTAATTTTTTGAGAAACTGTTGTGCTCTCTTCCTTAATGATGGCATCATTTTACATCCTGACAGTAATGTACAGGGACTTCAATGTCTCCACCCACTCAGCAATACTTATTTTCTGATTGTCTTGATAATAGCCATCCTAACAGGTGTACGATGGTAGCTGTTTGTGCTTTTGAACTGCATTTAATAGTGTATGCCTGTAAGCCCAGCACTTGGGAGACTGAGACAGGATTGTGAAGTCAGCCTGGGCTACACAGTGGGAGCCATCATGGGTTACATTGTGGTTTTGATTTGCATTTCCCTAATTATTAGTGGTGCTTTTCATGTGCTTCTCTGGGGAAATATTTATTAAATTCCTTTACCCAATTTTAGTAGGGTGTGTATGTGCTTTTGAACACTTTGTCTTAATCTGTTTTCCTAGTGTGTTTTAACCAGATAGTATCTACGTTACTTTGTCCAGTTCCTTGCTTTGTTTGTTTGTTTGTTTGTTTTTTGTTGTTTTACAGGGTCTCATCTGCTGTTAAGCCCTTCAGTAAAATTCTCATTTTGGATATTGCGTTTTTTTAGCTGCAGGATTCTATCTGACCCTCTTGTATGTCTTTATTATTGGCTTGTTATGCTCATTTGCTTGCTTTTTAAATTCTTCAAGATATTTATAATATTTAAAAGCCACCATCTGTTAATTCTATCATTTCTCTCATTTATGGACTCATTTCTCTTGATTTTTTTGTTCTGGTTTTAGAACACATTTTCCAACTTCTTTATCTAGTAATTTTTTACTGAATGGAAGACATTTTGAATATTATGACATTGAATGTCTGGATTTGTTATGTTTCATCAAAGAGTATTCATAGTGATTCTTTTGACAATTATTTTTCAACCTTGTCTTTAAGCATGAGTGGTACTCTCCAATGACTGTTTTCTGCTCTTGGAGTTCTACTGAATGCCTTGTATTCATTGAAGTCTCTCCGTCTGCTGTTGTCTCTTCTGGCCTTCTCTGAGTTATGGGAATATGGCTCAGTCTGTAGACCTCTGTCCAGTCTCTTGGAATGTTGCCTTGTGCAATGGCAAATGCAGCTTATCAGTCATCAAAAGACTTACTGTGAGTCATCTGTAGATTTCTGGTGCACTTTTCTGTCTGATTTGCTCCTGTAACACACATTCCAGCTGCCTCAGCCTCTTTCATTATACAATCTGTTTTTTTCAACTCAGCAGGTCTACCATGCTTGATTTTGGTTTCTTCTCCTTGAATCAGAAAGTAGTCCTAGCCAGGAAGTTGTGACATTTATAAGGCATAATTACCTGACTTGTTGTCTAACATATGAAAAGAATAGATTCACTTATCTTGTCTAGTTTTTCTGTTGTCTAGTTTGTCTAGTTGTTTATGGTAGAAAGGGAAATTTAGTTTACATTACATGTATTTGGATATACTATGTTCTGAAGTGCCCGTTAAAGTCTTTTGTCTTTTTGTTACTAACCTGTGATGGTTCTTTATTCAGTCATGCATCACTTAACGATGGGCATGTGTCCTGAGCAATGTACTATTAATTGATTTTTTTGTTGTGCTAATATCACACAGTACACATGCATAAACCTTGATAGTACAGACTACTACACACTTAGGCTATATGCTGTACATATACGTGTGTGTGTGTGTGTGTATGTGTGTGTGTGTGTTTATATACATAATATCTCATGTTAGGGCCATGATGACTGAAACAACACAAGATTAAATGGAGCACAAGAAAACAATTCAATCAAGAGATGCAGTAAATGCAAAATGCATGTGGCTGCTGCTGGTGTAACAACATATTGTTTTGTAGTAAACATTTTTTATAAGTAGAGGGAGTACAGTGAAAAATAATGATGAAAAGTACAACATGGTAAACACAGCAGTATCACAGCTGTTTATTATCATTAGCAAGTATTACATACTGTGTGTAATTATATGAGCTATACTTTTATACAA